GATTTATGATTTATGATTTATGATTTATGATTTATGATTTATGATTTATGATTTATGATTTATGATTTATGATTTATGATTGATTTGTGATTTACGATTTACGATTTACGATTTACGATTTACGATTTACGATTTACGATTTACGATTTACGATTTACTATTTATTATTTATTATTTATTATTTATTATTTATTATTTATTATTTATTATTTATTTATAAATATAAATATATTTATTATGTTGTTTTATTATTAATGTTTTAATTGTGGATTGGGAATCTCCCAGAGTTCAACATAAGATGAATGGTTATATAAATGTTTTAAATACATGAATACAGTAGTCCTCAATTTACAATAGTTCATTTATAAAGGAACTGAAAAAAGTGACTGACAACCATTTTTCACACTTACAATAGTTGCAGCATTCCCGTGATCACGTGATCACGTGATCAAAATTCGGACACTTGGCAATTGACTCATACATCTGACGGTTGCAGTGTCCCAGGGTCATATAATTTAGTGACCTTCCAGCAAGCAAAGTCAATGAGGAAACCAGATTCATTTAACAACTGTGTTACTAACTTAACAACTACATTGATTCACTTAACAACCCTGACAAGAAGGGTTGTAAGATGTGGCGAAACTCACTTAATGACTGTCTCGCTTAGCAACAGAAAAGTTGGGCTCATTTGTGGTCGTAAATTGAGGACTACTTGCAGACGGGGGAAACAAGATAAATTCTGCTACGTGCTACAGTTTGCATGGCATATGGCAGGGGTGTCAAATTCTATTTCATTGAGGGCCGCATCAGAGTTGTGTTTGACCTCATGAGGGAGCGGGGGCGGCCCTCTCGAACTCCATTTTTGCTGGCAGACGCACCGCAGGCTAGTCCTTCACTGTTTCCAGGGAGGCCCCGTGGGCCAGGTCAAAGCACCCCGCGGGCTGGATTCAGCTCCCGGGCCTTGAGTTTGACACATCTGGCATATGGTAATAACCATGTGTACAATCTGTTCCTCACAAATTGGCAGATAAAAAAATATTTATATACTACTGTATTCTAATATTTAAAGAGAGTACAGACATTTTTCCTGTAAAGAACCCAGAATTATACAGTTAAAAAATATATCCTAACTGCTTCCCAAATCTATAAACAGTTTTTTAAGATTACATTCTATGAAATGCTTGTCAGTAAAGAGTAATATAACACACACCTGGACACAGACC